ATTTTGAAAATTTTGAATCCAGGACGAAACAACGGGATCTCTTCAATGCAATTGGTTCTATGTATGCTGCTGTTCTCTTTCTTGGTATTAAAAATTCTACAACAGTGCAGCCAGTCGTAGATGTGGAAAGAACAGTCTTCTATAGAGAACGAGCTGCTGGAATGTATTCTGCCTTGGCATATGCCTTTGCACAGGTGACTGATCATATATTCTACTAACATAATATTTTAGGTTTCACTGAGATTACTTGTATTATTTATCTTATGCCATTTCCGTATCTTGTTGCAGGTTACAATTGAGATCCCTTATGTTTTTGCACAAGCAGTTATCTATAGTGTCATAGTTTATGCAATGATTGGGTTTGAGTGGACTTTGGCTAAATTCTTGTGGTACCTGTTCTTCATGTATTTCACATTTTTGTACTTCACCTACTATGGCATGATGGGTGTGGCCTTGACGCCGAACCAACACGTTGCTGCTATAAGTGCCAGTGCATTTTACGCAATATGGAATGTCTTCTCAGGGTTCGTCATTCCCCGAACTGTAAGTGTTGCTTACCCTCAACTTGTAGTGCATGTTTTTTGTGTGCATAGAATCTGTCTTCATGTCTTATTTTCTCATCCTGTAATTTTGATTCGTGTTCATTTGGCCAACTACAGAGGATTCCTATATGGTGGAGGTGGTACTATTGGGCATGTCCAATGGCTTGGACCTTGTATGGACTGGCTGCGTCACAGTTTGGAGATATACAGGACAAGCTTGAGACTGGTGAAACGGTGGAAGAATTTATGCGGAATTACTTCGGTTTCAAGCAAGAATTTATAGGAGTGGTGGCTGCTGTGGTGGTTGGATTCACTCTACTCTTTGCACTTATCTTTGCCTTGTCCATCAAGATGTTGAATTTCCAAAGGCGATGAATTTTTGTTTCAACAGGATTGTCTGGGGATGGCTAACATGTCAACAACTTGTTCATCATCTAGGAATTTCTTTGATCTTATGTGTTGCAGTTTTAATTGTATAATTGGACAAGCTGCTTATGAGATACAAAATTTATAAATAATGATATGATTCGTTTACAAGTTTTGAATTTTCGAGGGCTAATCACTCCACAAGCAGGCCAAAAAGTTGGCACCAACCATTATTCTTTTCGCCTCTATCATGTGAAGCCTGACAACTGATACAATTATATTCGTGAAGGACATGCTAACTAAGTTGATTGTAGATGATATTAAGCTCAAACTTACAAGTTATTTTTTGATAGGGAAAGCCTCTATGTTGATTGTAGATATAACATTATATTATTATTTGTCGCCTGCTAAATTTCATGTAGTATTAACCTGAAAAATAAATGTTGGCTGGAAAGCAGCAGGAGAAATGCTTTAATCAGCAGCAAGCAGCCAGTTTAGAGTTTTAAATGACGGTTTAAGAGATTTCGCAACGATTTTGTGGATTTTGCGGCGAATATCTGACTTTTCGTGACGAAATTCGGGCACCTAATCGGGGAAACACCCTTTAGCAACACTTTTAACCGCTGCTAAGCGTCGCAGCAGAGATATTTAGCAGCGTAAGCCTAAACCGTCGCTAAAGGTCAATTTTGGAGTTTTGGCCGCCTCTCCAATACAGAGACTATTACAAATGTATTCTTCCACACATCGTGCATTTAGAAATCTACTCACTACAGAAAAAGAGAAGACATTTTCTTACATGTCCATGTTTACAATTATTACAAGAAAATATTACAAATTTCACTACAGCTATTTCACTACAAATATTACAAATTTGCTGTGCAGAACTCCTTTCCCGCTTGTTAGTACTTAGGTGATCACTCCCCCATAATTTAGATGTAACAAAAAAGTAGTCTCTTTCAAAATTCTCATAAAGAATTGCCTCTGTCAAAGCATTTCCTAGAGCTGCCGGCTCAGAACCATAAATCTTCGCAGTGTCAAAATGCCGGTAACCCATCTGCATTACAAAATCATGCACTTTTAGAACACATTCATTCAGTGCTTGATAAAATAAATAAATAGTAAATAGTTGGAAACTAGAATATCTGTATGATCAAGTGAGTGATTGAAAGAGTTGCAAAACAAAAGGCAGTACACAGCAAGCATGGAGTTTCTGTTTTGGCCTTCAATGGCAAAGGTTGATGAATAAATATGGGTGAGCCTCGCTTGCTTAAAAATGGCCATACACAAACCAAAGCTTAAGTATTAGACTTTAACAAACTCATAATTAGGCTGTGTGTGTTGAGATAATAAGCAAGGAGGATCCACATGCTTGATTTTTGTTAATTTATGCATCTTAGCTAGCACCACCAGTGAGGCTTGTGATGAGTCACTCACAGGTGTCATTCATATTTCATTCTACGACTGCTAAGAACACCACATTTTATTCACCAAATGACGTAACAGTGTTTAATTGATATTTTATTCACCAAATGACATAACCTAATTGATGTTTTATAATGACAAACTTATTTGCACTCTCTCTAAAAAAAAAGTGTAAGAGATGTTTGGGTTGTCCCAATATCATGAAGCCATTATTCGAGTCTACTACAATGTGAAAATACCACAGGGTAAGGAAAACTGCAAAAGTAATTTCATGCTAATACAACAGAAAAATAATAGAGATGTCAATCTTCAAACTAATAGACCCCAGAGAGGTAATCTAAAAAACTCTTCTAAGGAATTGGTTTCATCAATTCAAACATTTTGAATTTAATCTTCTTCCTTTAATTTCATGGTTCTAATAAATTACTGAATTTATATCACTAAAAGCAGAACCAAAGTAACAACAACAAGAAGGAAACCAAATCAAGACGAACTTGTATATCAGGGAAAGAAAAAAGGATGCAAATTTTGGTTTTCTACTGGTCAGATATGTGGAAAATGAAAATAAAAAGATACGATCTTTTGAACCAGTTAGATATAAAAGGCGCAAATTTTCTAGTGCAGAAGCTAAGCATTTACCTGTTTCGTTCAAATTGGGAGCATGGTAGTGCATTTCCCCTGTTGTTACTCATCTTTCATGGCAGCTATGGCACCGTAGGAGTGCTGGCGACGACGGTTTGAAGAATTAGGTTTAGGGATTTTGTTTTCGGTCGAATAGATTTGGGGATTTTGTCGAAACGGGTTGGTCGACGTCGCGACGATAACCAATTGGTCCCAATCGCAGGCCAGAAATCGTCATTTCATATTCTTCAAGTTCGGGTGAGCAGAGAAAGAGAAATTGGGCTTTTTTTGTGGCCCAAAGATACTTTTGCATTCAGTAATGAACCCAATCTAGAAAAAGCATGTTTTAAATAAATATTATTGGAATAATTGCGGTTGTTGTAGTGGGAGTGTGGGATGAGGAGATATATCTTTCCATTTTCAAACTTTCTTGAAGTACTTTTCATTTTATTATTTTACCCTTATATATAAAATGGTGTTCCATTTAACATGTTAATTAACTTAGGCATTTCGTTTGGTCGGATCGAATAGGTTCGCTAATACTCACTTGAACTAGAAGCTCTTTGCATCTTCACCTATGTTATACTTAACTACGAGGCAGAACACCAAACAAAATTTTCCTTTCTCCTTTTGGGTTTGAATACTATGTGTACATATATAGTTGGTATAGCTAGTCAATGTAAAATCAAGTCGTGAGATTGAAGGCTCTTGATACCATGTAAAACAATAGAGAGCTCAGGAATTGTTTGATGAGCTTGTATCCATCAACACGATGGAACAACAAATTTATATTAGCAAAACAACAATATCAGTTACAAGGATTACATAATATCCCTATATAAGTGGGAGCCAAACATATATATTTGAAATACAAACAGAAAACCATATCAGATTTTTTGGAGCATAAATTCTTACAATAAGAATGTCTTTCACAGGTTCTTGGCTTTACTCTGCACACGAGATAAACAAATCTCCAAGCGATACTTCCCCCGAATCAAATGAGGAAGGGATGGGTACCTGCAAAAGATACTCCGACGCTCAAGTCAATTTTTGTGTGTATTTGTGTGCACCAGTTAATCCGAAATCACGTACCTTTCTCTGGTTGTGGAACTCCACATTTATACCTGGTGACAGACTTGGGGCGCAAGCCTCACTTTGCACGTCTTTTGTCCACTTCCGCCACTTCCGGTTAGCGTGAGTTGCGCGTTGTCAACTCTCAACGGTGTTCACGTTGTCCCTTGATTCATGCGGATTGGGGAGTGCAAGCATTTGAATATACCCACGAACCCATGTCGGGCCACTTGTACACGAGTCAACATGGGGTAATGCGCTTGTGAACCCACGTTGAGTGATGCATATCCGAACCCACGTTGGGCGGTGCGCATCCGAAATCGCATTGGGTTTACGCGTATACGAACCCATATCGGGCCAATGTCAATACGAACTCACGTTAGGCTTATGCGTATACGAACCCATATTAGATAGAACCCAATTTGAGCTCGTGTTGGGCTTTCACACAAGAGAACCAGCATTGGGCCAACACCCATATAAACCTATGTTGGGTTGTGCCTAAATCTGATCCCGTGACGTGGCGGATCATTAGCGAATTATTTTGCTCCCACAAGATTACAACTAAGGAAGTCCACACAGACTAGGACTCCTTCTCCAAACCTGTTACAGATTTTGAATTTAAACACGTATAAGCTTTGTCTAACAGAATTTCACTCTCTTTGGCGTGAACGGTGAAGGGGGAATTTAAACACGTATAAGCTTTGTCTAACAGAATTTCACTCTCTTTGGCGTGAACGGTGAAGGGGGCCAGCCACAATGCGTGTGATATATGAAAATGTAATGAATGGTGATGATATCATCCATGATGTCAGAAACTTTTGATCATGACATATATCATGCACGACTTCTTCCTATAAATCATTCCAGGAAAGTGGCCAACAAAAGCCAAACCCTTTTCCTCTTTTGCTTTCTGTTTTCCCATGGTTTGCTATCTTCTTTAATTTGTAGCTCTAGCTAGCTCTTGCTGGTTCTTCTACAATGGAGATAAGTTGTGATCTTGAGAAAGCTGGTCATAGTTTCAAAAACTCTTCCTTTTGGACTGACAATGGCGCAGGAGTTTTCTCATCATCTTCACGTGGAGAGGTTGACGAGGAAGCTCTCAAGTGGGCTGCTCTTCAGAGACTTCCAACTTTCCAGCGCTTGAAGAAAGGTTTGATCTCTACATCCGAAGGCGGTGCCGACGAAGTTGATGTGAGCCTTCTTCAAGTACAAGAAAGGAAGAATTTGATTCAGAGGTTGGTTGGAGTAGCTGAAGAGGATCATGAGAACTTCTTGTTGAGGCTCAAGAACCGCATTGATAGGTAAGAATTTAGAATTAATCTCAACTCTACATATTGTTCTTTTTCTTGAATTTTCTCTTATTTATAATAATGGTTTTGTTTTACTTGGAATGTATCTCAGAGTTGGAATTAGTCTTCCTACAATTGATGTTAGATTTGAGCATTTAAAAATTGCAGCTGAAGCTTATGTAGGAGGCAGAGCTCTGCCCGCAGTCTTTAAGTACTGTGTTAATTTAGTGGAGGTAATGATTAACCACTAGAATTCAGTTTGTGTATTGCATATATAATCTTGGTGTTAATACATTCTAACATAACTATTTGTTTCTGGGTTCCAAAGGGTTTGTTGAACTCCTTCCGTATTCTTCCTGGCAAGAAGCAACACTTGACTATCCTTAAAAATGTCAGTGGGATCATCAAGCCTTGCAGGTGAGAAAGCTGCAGACTATGTCTTATATATATATATTTGTTGGAGTTTGTGTGGCTTAATACTCACTTGGTTCATGTGTTTGCTCAAAATGACACTGCTTTTGGGTCCTCCGAGTTCCGGAAAGACCACACTGTTGTTGGCTTTGGCGAGAGAGCTTGACCAGGATCTTAAGGTTACACAAAATGAAATGGGGCCTTAAGATTTTTTATTTTAGCTTTAGTCTAAAGGTATTACTCTTGGATTATGTTACTAATTAGTCAAAACTCTTGGACGTGTGCCTCAGAGGAGTGCTGTCTATATCAGTCAACATGATGTTCATATGGGAGAGATGACAGTCGGAGAAACGTTGGCTTTTTCTGCAAGATGCCAAGGGATTGGAACTCGTTATGGTTCTTTTACAGGACTTCTTTTTATTGAGCTTTCAGAATCATACCAAAGAATATAACAGGAAAAGATGATTGATGTTCTTTTTTCTTCTGAATTTTGACAGATATCCTAGCAGAGATAAGTAGAAGAGAGAAAGAAGCGAATATTAAGCCAGATGCAGACTTGGATATCTACATGAAGGTGAGAATATCTACTTAAGAGGTCTATAAACTACAACTATATTATGGACACCATTTTTCTTGGATGATTAGTTAATTTTAAGTTGTTTTTTGTTATTATAGGCAGTGGCATCAGAAGTACAAGTAAAAAACAAGCAATGCCAGGAGGGGACTTAGTAGACGAACGACATGATCAGGCTCAACTGTGCAATGCCTTATACCAGCCACATATAGTTCACTACTACAACTCTCACGTCAAACAGCGAGCTTTCTAGGTTGGTGACCTAGTACTCCGCAAGGTCATGCTTCCTACTCGCAAACACGCAAATGGAAGCTCAAGACCGACCTGGAAATGGCCTTACCGTGTCATTGACATTGTACGACCTGGCACCTATCGACTAAGGGATCTCCGGGGAGCAAATTTGCCTCATCCTTGTAACGCAGAGCATATAAAGAAGTATTACCAATGACTTCATCATCATCTACATGCTATCATAGTTAAATCATCAGTTTGAGGTTTAGATTTTTCATTATATTGCTTCTCATTCTGTGTGGCTCATAGGAACTATCCTGTTATGATGGTTCATGAAGTATTTTTTAATTTTTCAACTTAGTCAGCCAGCGTTCAAGCTCGCTCTTGGTATGTTTTCAACTTTTCGGTAGTGAATAAAATTTGGATTTCTTTTCCAATGTATTGTCTCTCCAAGCCTTAACAAGGGAACTCAAAGCGCCACATTCAAGTCAGGAAGGAATCCAGCTTCATAGATTTGCCAAGTTCAGATGGACGAAAGGTTCGAGCTATATTTTTTATCAAGCTCATGTAGATGAAAGGTCCGAGCTATATTTCTATCGAGCTCATATAGACGAAAGGTCTAAGCTTAGTTTTCGCCAAGCTCAGATGGACGAAAGGTCCGAGCTATATTTCTATCGAGCTCATATATACGAAAGGTCTAAGCTTAGTTTTTGCCAAGCTCAGATGGACGAAAGGTCTGAGCTATATTTCTATCGAGCTCATATAGATGAAAGGTCTAAGCTCAGTTTTCGCTAAGCTCAGATGGATGAAAGGTCCGAGCTATATTTCTATCGAGCTCATATAGACGAAAGGTCTAAGCTCAGTTTTTGCCAAGCTCAGATGGACGAAAGGTCTGAGCTATATTTCTATCGAGCTCATATAGACAAAAGGTCTAAGCTTAGTTTTCGCCAAGCTCAGATAGACGAAAGGTCCGAGCTATATTTCTATTGAGCTCATATAGACGAAAGGTCTAAGCTCAGTTTTATGCCAAACTTAT